AACAGGTGCAGCTCAAAAGGTCTGAGCTTGTTATAGAGGCTTTTGTTGGTCATTTCTTTTTTTTTTTGGTTTGCCCACTCGGATAGTCTAAGTTTTCTAACACAGTTACAAATGCTGCTCTTGCAATGTGAGTATGGTAAGGAGTGGGCTGTCTGACGATTAGGCTGCGTTTTTTTTTTGCCGCACAAATTGTTTGCAGGGTAATCTGCGGCAGCGGAAGTCAACCAAGAATTTTAAAACTGGTTTTTTTGCAAGAGCAGACATAGCGTTGGCGAAAATTTCTTTTTCCTCTTTTGTTTAAAGTTTTTTAGGCAGACGTTTGTACAGTTGAGGCTTTTTAACATTTTTACACTGGCTTGTTTAGTAGTACTTGTGATGCACTTCAAACACCTTGTCATGTGATAGTGCAGGTTTGTGAAGTGAAATAGTGAAGGAGCGGTGTTATTTTTGGGAATTATAAGCTTTCTTATTGCTTCATTTTGCTGCGACGGGCCGATTTTAATAACTTCCGCGAATGCGAAAATAATCATTTGCTAATTCAGTAATGGGACCGTTTTAAAGGGTATATAATCCAAATTCTTCCTTTTAGTTTAAACGTGTGAAGCTTTGCTCTTATCTACGTCATTGAAAGTGCTTATATAGTCAAATGCCTAATGGGACTTTATATATATATATATAAAAGCAAAAGCAATGTTTTTTTATAAAAGCAATGTTTTTTTACATATATATGTATATATATAGACAAGTCCCATTACATATATATCTTAGTCGCGAGATATTATCGGGAGTTCAAACTAAAAAAAACTTTGGTCATGATGATTTGTTTTTCTTTTTTTTTCTTAAAACATTGCTTTTTATAGCATCTCACTTAGGGCTTGCGATAGATTCCAAGCCGGGACAATCTTAACGAATAACTAGCAACTTTTACATCTCGACTGTTTTTTTTTTTTGTGGGAACTTTATAAATGGCTGTGATATATGAAGGAAAATTAAATTGGAAATGGAACGAGCGGAATATTTTAAACATAAACTAATTAGTCAATAGATGAATTGCTGCTGATTGACGGCAAACTGTGGGAAAATGATTGCAGGGAAGAGCGGGAGGAGATGATCGCGGAACTCAAAGATGAAGCTGAAGCGCGGGATGCAGACATCCTTAAGATGAAGCAAGAGCGGCTTGAGTTGGTGAAAGATGCCCGAGCAGCGAAGGATTATCGTGACGAGTTGGAATGTCTGCAACATAAGGTCAGCTGCCAGAGGGATAATTTTGGTGTGGGGGGTTATAATTGTCGTTAAAATGAACCAGTCCCTCTTTCACTTGCCTAGCCCTGCTAGTAGTATCAAACAAGTCTGTCTGTTTATCAAAATTTTGCCCAGTGCCGAGTGAACACATGTTAGGGCCGGCTTCTGTTTCATTGTTTAGCTAAGGGCTAATTCTACGGATAACGGTCACTCGCTATACGCACTGAGAGCATCATTTTACTGAATTTTACAATTGCTAATTTCTTTTTTGCTTAACTCTTGAAAATAGGTTGTTTGTTGAGTGAGAGCCATCCACAGATTCTCTCCATAACCTGAAGGTACCGTGCTAATTTTGATCAGCTGCTGTTCCACCGTCGCGTTTCTTACCGCCACTGATGCAACTCACAATTTCTAACTTTTTCTTTGCTTTAAATCTTACATATTAATATAATTATATCTGTATCTTTAGGCGGATGTATTTG